AGTTAATTTAGTAACTAAATATCATTTTAGTTCAACAAGTGTGGCGTGTCGGCATGAGTGCATGAGGATTGTATATTCGTGGAAATACCAAGTGTTCGGATAGTAAAATTTAATCTCATGCAAATGAATAACTTTTTGTTTATTTTATTTTTATTGTAAGTACAAACATCTTAAAAGATATTGATATCTAATAAAAGAAAAAGTTTCATACAAACATGCCTGCGCGCGCATATATATATATATATATATAAATATATATAGATAGGATCTTTTGACATCGATGTCAAATTTGACATTGGTGTTAAGTTTAAAATTTGACACCGGTGTCAAATTTTAAATTTGACATCTTATCTGAGAGCTATTAGATCAAAAAGATCAATGGTGTCACATGCTTACAAATAAGAGTCGTTGATTTTTTTTGATCTAACGACTCTCAGATGAAGTGTCAAATTTAAAATTTGACACTGATGTCAAAGGATCCTACCTCATATATATATATATATATATATATATATATATATATATATATATAAAGCTCCATGTTAATTTAATATTACTGTACATAATATGCAATCATTAATGTGTAAATATATCTTAATCATTTAATCATATACTTATTTTTTATTTGAACATCCTAAAATTAACGTTTATTAACTAGTGTTCTTAAAACATTAGTTAAAAAAAATATTGAACAAAAATAAAGTACTCAATATATTAAAATTTTGAAGAATTTAATACTCTGTTTTTAAATAAATAAAAATATTTAATGACATGTTAAATATTTTTTTAACTAATATCATTAAAATTTTTAATAAAAGGCTTTTAAAAGGATGCAACACTTACAAACAATGCCTTTTCATACTGAGATATAGTTTTTAATGGCTTATTTCCACTGACAATTGATGCATTTATTTTCATATGAGAAATACTCAAACATACGTGCAAGTTTTACCCATCATATACCAAGTATGCTGATCTCATGATATAGTTATTTATCGTATGTGCTATGGCCATCATTTGTGATGAACTAATGACGGAATGATGAACGGTCTACCCAGAAATAAGGAGATAATTTCTCTTGTTTTAATTTTAATTGTCGAGATATGACATATTATACATACACAATTTACTCGCGTAGACAATATTATTACTTGTAACCCTTAACATTTTTCCAAAAGATGGGTAATTGATATGCAGAATGAATAGAAGTTGGATTGAAATTCAAAGTTGACTTCAATAGACATCTCGGCTAACCTCCAACAATAAGCATCTCGACCAAGTCATGACCAGAGCCAGAATTAGGCTTCAATAGTTATGACAGTTCGACATCATGACCAAAACTAGGATCAAATTTCAATAAGCGTAAGAATAACAAGCTGGAACTATGCCAAATTAAAAAGATCCGAGTTGGTTTATGATCCTTCCACTGCAAGAACCATCCTTTTATTGCAAGAAGGATGGTTATAAAATAACAGGGAAGTACTCTTTTCCTTACTTTTATATCCTGTCCATTATTATCATATGAGATTATTGCTAGACAAAATTTTTATAAGCACTGATATGCAGGATGCATGATTTTGAAAGCTTGTCAACATTGTTATACATGTGTTTATTATTGTCAGCAAAAGCAGATCGACAAATATTTTGAATATTGTCATGACAAAAGAGCATCGAGTTTCACAATAAGGCCGTGTTCCCTAAGTTTTATGTAGCAGATCAAGAAAATTAGGGAGCATGGAGCTTTATGATGGGTGCTCAATCAAATCAGATAGCATAAAATATGGTCAATTATAATTTGCTGATTGCAACTGGATAATTGTTTATTACCTTATTGCAACTGGATAATTATTGATTGTTGATTGAATCAAAATTATTGCTAATTGCCTTCTTCATAATTTATTACGATGCAAGGAATAATTAAACAGGTGGCGTGGAGATCTGCTCAAAAAAGAAAGGAGATCTAGGTCCACTCAAATAAGGAAGGAAATCCACCTAGATAAAGTTTGGCTAGAGAGCCAAGTCGAGAAAAAAGCTCGATCAAAATTTTGAGCTCCAATTAAAGATGAATACAAGACTTACGTGAAAAAAAACCAAGCTGAAAGAAGAGCCAAGGCAAGAGAAGCTGGGCTTGAGAAAGGCGAATATCGCCTCCCCAAACTTAAAATCAAGGTGTCGACATTTTACTTTTGCAGATTGTGAAGAAACAAACTCCAATTAAAAAATCGTGGCAAATGAAGCCGAGTTCAAATAAAAAGGCACCGTAAAAGAAGCGAGGCCCAAAATTAAAAAGCCAAGGCAGAAAAAACAGCGCTGCAATTCAAAGAGGCAATATTCGTCTCCTTAAATATAAGGCTTCGGCGAAAGAAGCCAAATTAGAATGAAGACCGGCCCTCCGGGATAAAAATGGTTGATATAAATATGAAGACGAATTGCCATCCTTACAACATGATTGCACTTATATCCGAGATAAAGATAAAAATAAAGATCGGCCCTACGAGATAAAAATGGTTGATTAAAGATCTGAGATACAAATCGGAGATGAAATGAAGACAAATATGGCAAGATCCAATCTGGGATACAAACTGGAAGACGAATCCAATCCAGGTTCGAGTAAAAGAATAGTGCATGCATCACGACATCAAGCCTGGTTCGAGGAAAGTGGGAGGACGCTTTCGTAATCCAAATCGAAGAAAAATTCAGGAGGGCAGATTGAAGCGACACTAATGAAGTCATCATAAATTGAAACTTAGGCAAAAAGTCGAGTTGAATATTATAAAACCACGGTATACGAAGCTGAGCTAGAAAATAGAAGGGGAACAAAATCACCTTCACTTAAGACTTGCAAGTCAACTTGAAGCCACTGTAAAGAAGCATGGCTCAATTATTAAAACATCGCGGTAAGGTAAGCTAGACTCGGAGAAGTGCATATCGTCAAAATGATTTTGGTTAATGTCAAAACCTGTGAATGCCGCGATAGAGAAGTCAGGCTAGAATGGGAGACAATATCACTACGAGATTCTGGCGAAACCCATCCTAAAATCGATGTGACCTGGACATTTGAATCCGGGTTAAAATAAAATGAAGGAAAAAATAAGTACCTTCATAGATATGGCTCCGCATATAAGCCGAGTCCAAATAGCACGACCTTGGCCAGGTCAAAAAATAGAAGTTGCAGATATAAAATCTGGGCAAAATACATTGAAGGACATAAACACCTTTGGAATATTAGGCGAAAAAGCAGAGTTAAATAAGACCATTGCCAAAGAAGCCGGGCTCAGGTATGAAAGCTATTGCAAAAGAAGTAAGGGCTTAAATAATAAAGTCACCGCTATAGAAGCGAGGCTCAAATATTAAAACATCACGGCAATGCGAGTTAGACTCAAAAAGGTGAATTTTGTCAAATGACTTTGATCAAGTCAAAATCTGTGGAAACCACGGTATGGGCAGCCGGGTTGAAATAGAAGGCGATATCACTGTGAGATTCTGACAAAGCCGAGTTCAAATGAATAAAAGCGATAGTATACAAAACTGGGCTAATTATAGCAAGGAAGATTTCAACTTTGCAATCAGAATAAGCAAAGAACCAGGAACCAATCCCGGCAATATCAAAGGGGTTCAAAGATCCCCAAATCAGGAAAAAAAGAAAAATGACAAAAGCAAAGTCGGTATTCCGACATACAAATACTTGAATTAAAGTAATACAGCCCGACAACCCAAATTTCCAGACTGCCGGATTAGGGGGCAACAGTGTAACAACACAACAATTCAAATTGAATGAGGAAAACTACAATCCTTATAAGTCAGTAACTCGGTAAGACAGTAAAAAAGACCGGTCAACTAGTCCGAGTTACGTACTTCGGCCAAAAAGGTTGAGGGAGGAATATTAAAATAGCATACTCAGTACCCAACTTGTGAAGCCCGACACAAAAGGAAGAGTGAAATAAGAGAGAATAAAGCCTGGACCAAGAACCTGAACGAATTTTCATCCCTATGCAATATAATTCAAAGCTCTGTTATAAGCAAGAAACGATGAAGTCAACAGGGCCGAGATAGCAGCAATAATAATCAAAGACAAGTGAAAAATAAGATGTCTAAGCGAAGCCTGTAGCAGGCAATAAAAACTCAGATACCCGACCAGTTTCAACCATAGCTCAAAATTCAATCCGGGATCTTAAAGTTGTAAATACAACATAATATGTACCCCAGCAGCCTGGACACCCAGACTGCTGGGCTGGAGGACAACTATTACGGACCTAACAAAGGCCCACATTCTAGAAGGCCTAAATAAGGCTAACAACTAAGAGGGAATTAAGGAAATATTCATTAACTATACTAATCCTACTACGATAGTAATGGATCAACAATTGGACCCTCAATACTCCTAAGAGGCCTAGAAGTCCACTCCTGCTAGGTAACCCATCTACAAATAAGAGGTTAAACCAATAAGGTACATACATTCTAAACCCTATCTCTTAGTTTGTCACTGTGCACACACCCATGCTTTGGCTATGCCGTTTATATTATAGTGCACAATGATCCACTGATCTCTAGGGTACCTCCCTCGTAAGTACCTAAGAGAGGACAAATATATTAATATATCAATCTCTGATTAGATATCTCTGTCATCCAGACAGAACACAGATTGTATTACTATCATATTAAATGAGAATAATATAATTTTATGCAAATCTATCGATTTTTGTGTTTTTTTTTAATAAATAATAGAACCCACCGTATAATTATATCTCTTCTGTTACATAGTAGTATAACCATTTCTTATTTGGTAATGGAAATTTCTCTCTGGTGACCAAAACCAGGGGCAGGTTCAAGACAGGAAGCGAAAAAAGTCAAAGGAACAAGGGGGGTAATCCCGAAATTATGAAATAGACGAAGGGCAAATCCAGGTTTAGGTCCAATCATCCAACAAAAGTTGCTCGAATCTCTATCAGAGATCAGAATCCAGCTACACAAACGTAGCTTGGACTCGTAGAGACTCTTTCTCGCACATACTCTACTCTAATAATAAACAGCTTTCACTGAAAATTTGCGTTCTATTAAAAACGAAAAGCAAATAAAGTAAAAGAAAGAAAAAGCAAAAGAGAAAACGATGCACACCGTCTTCTGACTTAGACCAACAACTTATTCATAAATTCACTGTAATTCAACCCTCCAAAGAATCAAAGATTCAGTGGAATTTTCACTCTCTTACTCTTTTTCTTCCTCCCTCACCTTACTTACGGTACGGTTAGTTCGCTCCTGCTACTACAACTCCAATTTTAACTTTATCGCTACTAGTTTTTCACCTATAACCTCTTCCACGATTTTAGTGTTTTCTTTTTCTGATTCTTACAATTTTACATCGGTATTGGTTAATAGGTTTTATGCTTCGGTTTTATTTTATTTTATTTTATTTTATTTTTTGGTAAATTCGGATCGCATTGCATGGGTTATTGTTTGAGAACTTGCATTTTGTGAATGGATTCGGGATCGAGTTTCGGTAGCATGATCAGTGGAGTTGAATTACACTGCGGTAGGATTAGATTGATTGAAAGCGGTGTAGGGGACACTAAATTATGCATATTTGTTTGAAAATGTGGGCATTGGGGAATAAAGGAAAGAGGACGAGTTAAGAAAAATGTTATGGCACTGGTGAAGTGTTTATGCCATGAAGAATGAGTCGCAAGGCTGTCACAACATGCATGCTTGTGTAATCAAAGGCTTAACAATATGTTGCTGATGTTGTTCTCTTTTTCATATTCCTATAAAAGCCATGTTGCTATCAGAGATTAGCAATGTGGAGAGCCTGTTATTAAAAAAATTGTGTAGTGCCATGTTTTAATCTGATTAATGCTAGTGATCATACTTGGAGACATAATTTTCTTACAGGAGCAGTGAAATCACAGGTCCTTGTTGTAATGAAGATAGTATCATGCTAGCTTTCATTAAATAGATAATGTTAATGATAGAGTCAAAGATACGTGGCAACAAGATTGATTATTTGATTGAGACATATGGCTCCTTTGTTACAGATTTTAGCACGCTAGATATACCATTGCTGGGATCAAAACCTTCCAGCAATGTCATGCTCAACTCGAGATAAGGGGTTCAAGAATTTAGAATGACTTCAAACTGAAGGTAATACAATGGTTAATTTAGATTTAGTCACTCTATATTGAGTGCTGTAGTTGTGTATGTCTGCTACTATATTTCCCTCTTCACATTTTAGGGGAACAATCAAATTGAAGAGTATTTCCCCTCTGTGTATGTCGGGTTTAACGGGGAGTGATTTTTTTTTTGTTTTTTGTTTTAAATCAGTGTCAAACTATGACAAAAGTGCTTTCTTGTTTTGAAATTGTATGTTAGATTTATTATAATATATGATAGATGAAGTTGAGGGGAACTTGCAGAAGAAGGATTTTTTTAAACTCAAACACAATAAATGATGTAATTGACCTGTTCATACTCTTGCAAGGTTTGAGTACAGGGATATCCTTCGTCCTTTTTCATGGGTTATTTAATTTCAATGGTTTGCTTGCAAATTTCTTCATTGGATAAGTTTCTTAATGAAATTTCTGAAGTATGATATAGCTTGCTTCTGTGATCATTAAGAATCTAACTTGAAGTTTTATAAGCTTCTACATCCCACTTTAATTGCATTATGGCACATGGTTTCTGTATGTAATTAGAGTTTAATCTAGTTTAGGCTATAATATATGTTAAAACATGAAAAGAAAAGTACTCTAACCTTTCTGGTTTCCTAATTGTTTGATATTTCCTTTGTATTTAGTTGCAGAAAATATGTATAAAAGTGGCTTCCTTGAGTACCGATCCCTATGGAGGTAGCTTTCAGAAATAAATACGTCTTCACATTTTGCTGATCCTATCAAAACTTTACATTCATTCTGATTACTACTGATATATACTTGCCACAGATGGTGATGCACTCTCTGGTAATGCATAGGTACCTCTGGTACTGCATTCTATTGGGATATCTTCGTATATCTTGCCTTTCTTTTAGTTCAGGACAGCAGTTGAACAGGAGTACTGGCTTAGAAGACTGGTTGGGTTATTCTGGGTCAAGGTCACTTGAAAGAGATAATTCTCAACTCCTTGATTCTGCATTTGATGAAACATCAACTTCGCCATTCCCATTGAATAAGTCAGTTTCTTGTGAGGACTTGGAAGGTGTAGGATCTTTTAATACCACATGCTTGCTAAGCTCAACTCATTATTTGAATTCTGATATTTACATATATGGTGTTGGAAACCTGGAGATACTCTCTCATGTTTCACTTATATGTCCCGGGGAAGGGTGCATGATAACAGTCAATGTATCTGGCAACGTTAAACTTGGTCAAAATGCATCTATTGTTGCTGGTTCTGTGGTTTTATCAGCAGCCAATCTGACAATGGAGTGCAGTTCTTCAATAGACTCATCTTCATTGGGCGGGCCACCACCTTCCCAAACTAGTGGCACACCAGTTGGCAATGATGGAGCTGGTGGAGGACATGGTGGGCGTGGTGCATCTTGTTTACAAAATAATAAGACAAATTGGGGTGGTGATGTTTATGCTTGGTCCACATTGTCTAAACCATGGAGTTATGGGAGCAAGGGTAGTGGAAAATCTACTCAAAAACAATATGGTGGGAATGGTGGGGGGCGTGTTAAGCTTCTAGTGAAGGACACTTTATATGTAAATGGGTCTGTTACTGCAAAAGGTGGAGATGGAGGGTCTGATGGGGGAGGTGGCTCTGGCGGAAGTATACGGATACATGCCATAAAGCTGTGAGTATGAACTACTTGTCAGTCTATGACCATATACTCATTTTTCATATTATGGCTTCTAAGTGACTATTCAGGCCGAATTCAGCAATTAATTTGAGATGAAATGCATTTTTATGGCATTTGAGTTAGTTTTACGAACACTTGCAACATTATAATTAGTATTTTTATTACATATTAAAGGGTAATAAAGTGCAAATGATAAGATAATAGCAATTTTTATAATTTTTTTTTATAGTAGCGACAGCCGGCAGAAATTTGTGGCTTTTGTTGATGATGGCATATTGTCTAATTTTTTGTTTACATGGATATTCTTTGGCATTGTTAAGAATGTAATGCATCATTCTTAATGCCAAGAAAGTAATGATCATACCAAGATCAGTCATTTCAAACTCATTCATCATAGACTTTTTAAATTCTTCAAATATAACGTCACAATTTCCAGTTAATATGAGATCATCTACATATAAGCAAACAATGAGCATTTTTCCTTTATCACCAATCTTAACAAAAAGTGTATGTTCATAAGGACACTTTGTAAAACCAACCTTAAGAAAATAAGACTCAATACGACTATAACAAGCTCGGGGGGCTTGTTTTAGTCCATAAAGTGCCTTTTTCAATTTGAAAACTTTATGCTCATTTCCAACCTTCACATAACCAGGGGGTTGTTCAATAAATACCTGTTCCTCCAAATACCCATGCAAGAATGCCAATTTGACATCTAGCTGATAAATAGGGCAAGAATTTTGTGGTGCCAATGCAACCACCAATCTGATTGTATCATGTCTCGCAACCGGAGAAAAAATTTCACCATTTTCCTTTAACTTTGTTGTGAACACCCACTTTACACCAATGGTTTTGTGTCCATTTGAAAGATCAGTTAGCTCGTAAGTATCATTCCTCTCAATTGCATCAATTTCAGCATCCATCGCTTTTTGCCATTTTTCTTCTTTGAAAGCACTCTCAAAAGTCATGAGATCACATTATGAAAATAAAGCAAAGTGAGTAATTGGATCTTCAATTCCAGTTACCTCATAATCTTCCATCCAAGGAGGCCTTCTTCTAACACGATGGAGAGGTTGAGTTTCTTCTTCATTAACTTCAACTACTGTTGGTGAGGATTCATTGGCTGAAGAAGTTGCAGTGGATGAATTTCTAGGCATACTAGATGCTGAAATTTGCATTTGTTCGGAATCAATATCATAAAGAACTTGGGTAGGCTGCTACATATTCCAATCCCAAGTGTTTTTTTTCATCAAAATATCCCTGCTAATCACACTTTTTTATGTTAGTGGATTAAATAATTTATATGCTTTGGATATATCACTTATACCTAGAAAGACACATTTTTCAGCCTTGTCATCAAGTTTCTTCCTTTTTGATCCGGAACATGAGCATATGCAATACATTCAAAAATTCTAAAGTGATCTACATTTGGTTTTCTCCCACTCTAAGCCTCTTCTGGCGTCATGTTTCGAACTGCAAAGGTTGGACTTCTGTTCAAGACATGAATGCACCAATTTATTGCTTCTAGCCAAAACGTCTTTGGAACTCTTCCTCTTGCCAATAAGCTTCTAACTATGTTGAGAATGGTTCTGTTCTTCCTCTCTGGTGCACCATATTTTTTTTTTTTATAAATATCTGGTGCACCATTTTGTTGTGGTGTATATGCAGTTGTAAGCTCTTTTCGGATGCCATGTTTTTCACAGAAAGCTTCAAATTCTTTTAAGCAATATTCACCACCATGATCCATGCAAAGGGTCCGAATCATCCTTCCGTCTCATTCTCCACACGAGCTTTGAAATTTTTAAATGTAGAGGGAACTTTTGACTTTTCCCGTAAAAAATAAACTCACATTTTTCTAGAAAAACCATCATTGAAGGTAATTAAATATTTTTTACCTCCATTAGAAATTTGGGTTTATTGGACCACAAATGTCTGAATGCACCAATTGCAAAACTCCCTTTGCTCTCCATGAGTTCCCTTTTGCAAATTCAGAACAATGTTGTTTGCTAACAACATATTCTTCACATACTACGGAAGGAGGAATTGTGATTTGAGGGAGGCCCATCACCATGTTTTTCTGTTAGAGCATCTTCAACCCACCAAAGCTCAAATGCCCATAGTGAAAATGCCACAGCCATGAAGGATCTTTCATTTCAACCATTAAACTAGATTGAATTCCTTCAATCTTTAATGGAAACAATCTATTTGAACTCATCTGAACAATAACAATAACACATCTAACAGAGTCATATTTCACAAGCACCATTTTTAATAGCGATTACATAACCCTTTTCTTGTAACTGGTCGGCACTTAATAAATTACTTTTCAAATCAGGAACATACAACATCAACATCAACATCAACAACACCTTTATCCCAAATTAATTGGGGTCGGTGGTAGATGAACCCACATGAAAGATACAAAACGGTTGAAAAAAAGTAAAAAAAAATAAAAAATAAAAAAATAAAAAAATAAATTAATAAATAAATAAAAATACACAAATAAAATAATAAAATAAAATAAAATAAAATAAAATAAAAATATATGTATATATAAATAAATAAAAGTAAAAAAGAAAGGGACAAGAAGAAGTGGGGGAAATGAAGGGGAAAAGGACTAAAAAGGGACCATCTGGAACATAGGAATAACAGCGGGTCTAACCCTCCACCATACTTATAGCTTTTCTCCATTCCTTTCTAAGACATACTGTCCGCCAATCTATATCCCACTCCATTAAATCTTGTTTTACTACTTTCCCCCAAGTAAGCTTCGGCCTACCTCTGCCTCTTTTTGTGTTTAGCTCTTGGTAACAAACTTCTGTTCTTACAGGAGCATCCATGGGTCTTCTCATCACGTGCCCAAACCACCTCAATCTATGTTCTCTCATCTTCTCGGCTACCGGTACTACTCCGACCTTTCGTCGAATATCTTCATTTCGTCAAATCAGGAACATACAATACATTAAATATTTTTTCCACAAAACCATTCTTGGTTTTTATTTTAATGTCACCTTTTCCCATTACTTTCACAGTAGAATGATCACCAAAACTCATAGTTGATTGGAAATTTTCATTCAGGTAAGACAAGGAAGACTTACTACCACTCGTATGGTTACTGCAACTAATATCCACATACTAAACATCTGGCTCAATCTTCTTTTCATCTTGAGCAATCATCAATAAGGTGTCAACTTCCTCCTTTTTTGCAAAGTTTGAACTTTCTCCTTTTTCTTTGTTATTCAGCAGCTTAGTATAACATTCAGATTTGATAATGACCCAATTTGTGACACTTGAAACATTCTACCTTGAATTTATCAGGAGCTCCTCCTCTGTCTTTGCCTTGAAACTGATCATTATTGGCTCTGAAATTAGTGGAGGTATCTCTGTTATTGAGATCTCCCCTTCCTCTGCCTTTGCCTCTACCTCTACCTCAAAAGCTGTTGGAACGAGTATCAGTAGAAGCCTTTAATGCTTGCTTATTTGCATCTTCCTGTTTGAACTTTTTTTCATGCACCAACAATGAGCTCTGCAATTCATCAAGTGATAAATAATCTATATCTTTAGATTCTTGTATAGCACAAACACCAAAATTAAATTTTGTTGTTAACGATCGAAGAATTTTTTCTATGACAGTTATTTCTTCTCTACTGTCTCCATGAATTCGCATCTTATTGACAATGGTCATCACACAAGAGAAATAATTTGCAATTGATTCTCCCGACTTCATTCGAAGTGTTTTGAATTCCGAGCGTAAAGCTTGAAACTACCGCCTCTTTGCTCTTGCAGAGCCTTGATACTTTTTTTCATGGAGTCCCAAATATCCTTGGAAGATTCTTTGCAAAGAATAGTTTCCAAGATAGAATGATCAATAGCCTGAAAGAGATAATTTTTCGCCTTCAAATCCTTCAGTTTTGCCGCTTCATGAGCTACTTGTTGTGCTGCTGTCAACTGAGCTCCTTCTGCTGGTTCGACAATGCCATTGGTAACAACATCCCAATATTCCTTGGACCAAAGGAAATTCTACATCAACATGCTCCAATGATCATAGTGACCATCAAAACGTGGAATGACTGCTTCAACAAAATTAGAATCTGTTGCCATGACTCTTCACCCTCTTTTTTTTACAACTCCTTTCCCTCACATGTTTGACTCTCAACCTGGCTCTTGATACCACTGATAGAAGATTAAGACTCTAAAATTGAAACACGTACAAAATACTGAAAAAGGGAATGCTTCATATTTCTCCAATACTCATTACATTGCTAATCAAGAGTCTCATTGCACCACATCATCAACTACTCATAACACCCACCATTAAGCATAATAATTATTTAACTTCATAACTAATACAAGAAAACTGTAAATAACCAATTCAACCCAAAAGCTTAAGCTGGTGGGTGAGGGCTTTTTAATTGTTTATACTATTCTCTTACACGCCCCTTTACATGAGAGCTCACTGAGTTTGAAGGGTGAACAATTCACAGGCCTACCTACCTGTATTAAGAAAATTCGACAAGAGAAAGTGAGGGGCCGTGAGGATCGAACCTGTGAGACCGAGGCTCTGATACCATGTAAATAACCAATTTAATCCTAAAGTTTAAGTTGGTGGGTGAAGATTTTTTAATTGTTTATATTATTCTCAAACAAAAAACAAGAGAGAACTGACTCTTCAACATTCTAACTGACACAAGAAACTAAAGAGATATTTCAACAAGCATTTGGTCCACGATCATTTATATTTTGCAGAAGGTAGTATCTTTTTATTCTGAAGAATACTGATGTTTTTGGAAATGTCTTGTTGTCTTTGTTGAAGGTTTTTGAGTTGTTTCTAGTTTTTAAAAGTGTATTGTCTTAGTTGAAGGTTTCTCAGGGAACTAATACATGTTGTCTAGTGGATTGTGCTTTTAACTTTTCTTTTGTATTTCATTTTTGGAATGAGTGTAGGAAGGGATATGGTACTATCAGTGCTGCTGGTGGGATGGGATGGGGTGGAGGCGGTGGAGGAAGAATATCACTTGATTGTTACAGCATACAGGAAGATTTAAAAATTACTGTTCATGGTTTGTTCCAATACACTTTCTGTACATGGTAGTTAAACCAATGATGACTTCTGCTTGATGTTTAATTCTATTGTAAGTGTGTTAAGCTTAATCTATGTGAATCAAAATACTAAAAATTAGAATATTTTATAAACAAATTAATGTTGTCTGCAATTTTCAGTACGAGTGGAGGCAAAAAGAAAAACATTTTTTGGTTATTTTTTTTTTTAACCAAAAAATGTAAGCCTTGGTGAGGATAGTGTTATGGAACCTGGCATGTTTTGGCTCCTTTCACTAGTTATGAGGATAGTGTCCAGAACCAATTCTTCAATGAAATCTCTCAACTTCTTGGGTTTTCCATTGAATTTTGAAGTTTTTCTGAAAGGTTGTTCTCTAGTTTTAGATTCTGGAATCTGTTCATTATTCCTGATTAGAGTCGATTTTTATTTGATTGGCTTCCAATCATCACAATTATGTTCTTCATGTCTAGCCAGCAGCTGCTTTTGTCTTGTGGAAGTCCAACTCTTTCAGACTTTTAGAGGTGGTGAATAATCCAGTGTCCCCAATTTTTCATCAATTTCTTAGTTACCAGATGAAGTGGTGTGGGGGTAATATGGACTAATAGAATAAACCAGAATGGGTGAGGGAAAACCACTTAGACAAGAAGTGGCACTCCTGTAGTTGACAGAATCATTCAAGTTTGTTTTAATATTAAATTACTTTAGTACTTACTAGTTTTTTGTGTTATTAATTTGAAAGACCGGGCCTTTAATCCTCGTAAGAAAGAGGAGGATGCTAACATCCACCCAAAAGTAAAGATGTTTAACATTTCCAATTATACACACACTCACAGACACAGCCTCAATCTTTTGGTGGTGCTGACACTATGCATTTGATAATTTTATATATGTTCTTTTGAATAAAAGTTTTTGGTTGACATTGTCATAGTTGTATATTCAATTTTTTCAAATCACGTAACATGCATGTATGCCTTTTTATTAATCTGGATAATAAGGGGGAACTTCTATACAATACATGCATTTGTTGTGACAGGAGGCATGAGTATTGGCTGTCCTGGGAATTCTGGAGCTGCTGGCACATATTTCAATGCAAATTTACTAAGTTTGAAAGTCAGCAATGACAATGTCACAACAGAAACAGAAACTCCTTTGCTTGACTTCTCAACCAGCCCTTTATGGTCAAATGTTTATGTAGAAAATAATGCGAAAGTTTTGGTTCCACTTGTTTGGTCCAGAGTTCAGGTGCGAAAGTTATACACATTATGTACTATGCCAACAAACACACGATCACAGAGTCACCATTTTATAACCATTTCTTTTTTCTTTTGTTGCATGTGTTTTGGAAAATTCTTTATATGACACAGAACTACTTTCATAATAGTTTTGATCTGCTGAAGCTTTTTATAGTTTGAACATTTATAGATTCATTATCTATTTTTGATAGTTTGCTTCTTTTGGTATTGCAAATTTTAATCGACATAGCAAGCTACACCAGTTCATTTACATAGCTTTTATACTGGTTTATTGCCGGTAAGTAACAATTGTTGTATCAATGTCACTGTTCCATCATGTCATACTTGTGTCCCATTTCCTATTTGATTACTACCTGACTGATGTATATGCTTTAGCCTGAATGCTCAAGCTAATGTTTTTGTTAGAGAAATATAAAAACCATTAATGTAGCCTCACTTATTAGCTTAAGCTTTTGGATTGAATTGATTCTTTATATGGTATTAGAGCTTCAGTGTCACGGATATCATTGCTTCCCAAATAAAAACAGAAAGAATCTAATCCTGATTTTCTACACTCCCCCTCAAGTTGGGAGGTAAATGTTGATCATTCCCAACTTGCCAATCAAGTCTTCAAAGGCTGGCTGTTGTAGGCCCTTAGTGAGGATATCTGCAATATGCTCTTTGGTAGAAATATACATCATACATACACTTCCATCATCTATTTTTTCTTTGATAAAGTAGCGATCAACTTCTACATGTTTTGTTCTGTCATGGTGAATTGGATTTTGAGCAATTCTGAAGCAGCCTTATTATCACAATACACTCTGACAGGTAAGGAAAAAGAGATCTTTAATTTCTCAAGGAGTCTTCTTAACCAAATTCCTTCACAAATACCATGGGCTAGAGCCCGAAATTCTGCTTCTGCACTGCTCTGGGAAACAATTGTTTGTTTCTTACTTCTCCAGGCCACAAGATTTCCCCAGATATAGGTGCAATATCCTAAAGTGGATCTTCGGTCCAATGCAGAGCCAGCCCAATTTGCATCTGTATATATTTCAATCATCCTCTTTGTCCCCTTTTAAAGAACAATCCTCGACCAAGGGTTTTTTGAGGTACTTCAGAATTCTATAAACTGCACTCAGGTGTTTTTCCTTAGGAGAATGCATGAATTGACTAACCATGCTAACTGCAAATGCAATATTAGGCCTAGTGTGAGATAAGTAGATCAATTTCTCCACCAATCTCTGATACTGCTCTTTGTCAACTTCTTTCCCATATTCAATTCCCAATTTAATATTGGGTTGAATTGGAGTCTCTGCTGGCTTGCACCCAAGCATTCCTATTTCTTGTAACTGGTTTAGAATATATTTCTTCTGAGTTAAAGAAATTCCTGCCTTACTTCGAGCAACTTCCATGCCCAGGAAATATTTGAGAGATTCAAGATCCTTCAGTTCAAACTGATAAGCTAAACACTTATGTCCTGTGACAATTATGTCATCAACATAAACAATGAGAATAACAATTTTACCTACATTAGAGTCTTTTAAAAATAAAGTGTGATCAGTCTGAGCTTGGAGGAATCCTCTTCCCTTAACAACTTGAGTAAACTTCTCAAACCATTCTCTAGGGGATTGTTTAAGACCATAGAGAGATTTCTTCAACTTGCATACTGAACCGTTTCCTTTTTCAAAACCAGATGGTGGATCCATATAAACTTCTTCGTGTGGATAACTATTCAAGAAGGCATTCTTTTCATCTAATTGTTGCAAGGGCCAACCAAGATTAGCAGCAAGTGATAAAAGAATTCGGATCGTGTTAAGCTTGGCAACATGGGCAAATGTCTCCTGATAGTCTATCCCATGAGTCTGAGTGAATCTCTTAGCAACCAATCTGGCCTTATACTTGTTGATGTTGTTATCTGCATTAAATTTTATTGTGAACACCACTTGCAACCTACTGTTTTCTTTCCTCTCGGTAATGCTACAGACTCCCAAGTTCCATTTTTGTTGAGCGCATCCGTTTCTTCAAAGACTGCATTCCTCTATTTTGGATTATCAAGTGCTTATTGGATAATTTTTGGTATTTTTGTACTGTCTGAGATAGTGTTGAAAGCACGAACATCTAGGGACAACTTTTCATACGTGATATGATGAGAAATAGGATGAGCAGTACGAGATCTAGTACCTTTTCGGAGAGCAATAGGCACATCTAGGTCGGCTGTATCAATGTTGTTGGAACTAATACTCAAGTCCGAATCCTGGCAGTCTAGAGGCTCCTGAGGTGATTCTCGCCTGCTGTAAAACTTTTCCCATTTACCAGGAGGATCTCCATTATCTGACACATTAGCTCCCTCTGTCTTTTGCATAATGACTCCCCATGTCTCCAACGACAAAGGCAAAACAACAGAATCATTTGGTTTGCAAGACTTATCTTCGTCTACCCCAATAGACTCCCCCTGAGGAGAAGTCGATGGAAAAAAGATTGTCTCTCATCAAATGTGACATCCATAGAAACAAAGACACTACGAAGAAAAGATGAGTAATACTTGTAGCCCCCTTTTGGTTAGGAGGATATCCTATGAAGACACATTTAATATACTTAGGATCGAGCTTGGACCTTTGATAAGGAGGAACATGTACAAAAGCCACACAGCCAAACAACTTGGGATGGAGGGAAGAGTGAGACTGGAAAGAAGGAAAGATGTGGGTAAGACAAGCTAAAGGAGATTGAAAATTTAGGACACGAGAAGGCATCCGATTGATGAGGTATGCTGCAGTCAAGATAGCTTCCCCCCACAGATATTTAGGGACATGCATGGTAAACATAAGAGCTCGAGCAACTTCAAGGAGATCTCTATTTTTTCTTTCAGCCACCCCATTTTGTTGAGGGGTGTTAGGACAAGAACTTTGATGAAGAATACCATGCTGGATGAGATAGTTTCCAAGAGCAGAATTAAAATATTCAGTACCATTGTCAGTTCGAAGAATTTGGATAGAGGTCTGGAACTGAGTTTGAATCATAGCATGAAAGTTTTTAAAGTGGATGCAGCGTCAGACTTATCTTTAGAAGGTATACCCAGCATACCCTAGAGTGACCATCTATGAAAGTTATAAACCAACGAGCACCAAAGATATTTTTTTCATGGGCTGGACCCCATATATCACTATGAATCAAGGTAAATGGAGAATAATCATGACGAACTCTAGGAGGATAAGAAACACGAGAATGTTTTGCAAACTGACAAATATCACAAGAAAAAGAAGTGAGATTTTTATTGATAAATAAGTTGGGAACAACTTCTGAAGATAAATGAAATTTGGGTGTCCTAACCGATGATGCCACAACAAAACATCATTACAATCATCAGACAAACATACCGAGTGGTTTACAAATTTTTTTTCTTAACAAGGATCTTTTTCAAAATAATAGAGCCGTTTTTCCTCTCTAGCACTACCAATCATCAGCCCCGAGTCATGTTCCTAGAAAAAACAAGCATCGACAGAAAACTTGGCAACACAATGTAACTCAGAGGTAAGTTTGCTGATAGAGATGAGGTTACAAGTAAGAGAGGGAACATGAAAGACTGAGTTCAAAGTAATGTGTTCAGAAAGTTTAATGGATCCTTTTCCAGCAATAGTAGAGAAGTTGCCATCTGCTGTTCTTATTCGTGACTGTTGATAGTAAGGGGTATAAGAACAAAACAAGGTTGCATTACCTGTCATATGATCAGAAGCCTTTGAATCAAAAATCCAACGCCTACTATTATCAACATGGAATGCCGTACCTTGTTGAGCAACATTGCTGGATAGAAATTTACTTCCAATCAAATTGGAAGCTAACATATCCAATTCGAACACAGGAAGCTAAGGCATGGGACATGATACCCTGTGAGTCATCTGATGAAATATAAGACTGAAATGTATTTTTCATATATTGATTGACACCCAAAGGGATCTTTATATACAGATTACAAGGTAGTTAAGGAGTTGAAGTAATAAATAAAATACACAGTAACCGAAGAGGCATCACACTACTCAAAGGAACAAGTAGCTAGAAACAAGTAGAAAACTCTAGAATATTCTACACTCCCCTCAAGTTGGGAGATATATATTGATCATCCCCAACTTGCTAATTAAATCCTCAAAGATGGGTTTGTGTAATCCTTTGGTGAGAATGTCGGCTGTTTGCTCCTTGGTAGGTATATATGACAAACATACACTACCCTCCTCCAATTTTTCTTTGATAAAATGACGATCAACCTCCACATGTTTGGTTCTGTCATGATGTACATGATTTTGAGCAATACTGACTGCAGCCTTATTATCACAATAGAGTCTCACAGGTAGAGAATAAGATATCTTTAATTCTCCAAGGAGCCTTCTTAACCAGATTCCTTCACAAATGCCATGGGCTAGCGCCCGAAATTCTGCTTCTGCACTACTTCTGGCAACAACAGTTTGTTTCTTACTTCTCCAGGTCACAAGATTTCCCCAGACATAGGTACAATATCCTGAAGTGGATCTTCGGTCCATAGCAGAGCCAGCCCAATCAGCATCTGTATAGATTTCTATCATCCTCTTGTGTCCCCTTTTAAAGAGCATTCCTCGACCAGGGGTGTTTTTGAGGTACTTGAGGATTCTATAAACAACACTAAGGTGTTTTTCCTTAGGAGAATGCATGAATTGGCTAACCATGCTAATCGCAAATGCAATATCAGGCCGAGTGTGAGATAAGTAGATCAGCTTCCCTACCAACCTTTGGTATTGCTCCCTGTCAATATCTTTTCCATCTTCAATTCCCAATTTAATATTGGGTTCAACTGGAGTTTCTGCAGGCTTGCACCCAAGCATACCTGTTTCTTGTAGCAGGTCTAGAATATATTTCTTCTGAGATAAGGAAATTCCCGCCTTGCTACGAGCAACTTCCATTCCAAGGAAATATTTGAGAGATCCAAGATCCTTTAGTTCAAACTAACTAGCTAAACCCCCTTTTAAAGATTTTATTTCTTCCCAGTCATCGCCTGTGACAATTATGTCGTCAACATAAACAATGAGGATAGCAATTTTGCCACTATCGGAGTGTTTAAAAAATAAAGTGTGATCAGTCTGAGCTTGGATAAATCCTCTTTCTTTAACAACACGAGTAAACTTTTCAAACCACTCTCTAGGGGATTGTTTAAGTCCATAAAGAGATTTCTTCAACATGCATACAGAACCATCTCCCTGTTCAAAACCAGGTGGTGGATCCATGTAAACTTCCTCATGTAAGTCCCCATTTAAGAAAGCGTTCTTTACGTCCAATTGATGCAAGGGCCAATCAAGGTTGGCAGCAAGTGATAGTAAGACTCGGATAGAGTTAAGTTTGGCAACGGGAGCGAACGTCTCCTGATAGTCTATCCCATAAGTCTGAGTAAATCCTTTGGCAACCAATCTGGCCTTATATTTGTTGATGCTGTTATCTGCATTAAATTTTATTGTGAACACCCATTTGCAACCTACAATTTTCTTTCCTCTGGGAAGTGCCACGGACTCCCAAGTTCCATTTTTTTTAAGAGCATCCATTTCTTCAAAGACTGCATCCCTCCATTTAGGGTCATTAAGTGCCTCTTGGATATTTTTTGGTATTTTTGTACCGTCTAATATAGTGTTGAAAGCACGAAAACCTGGAGATAACTTTTCATATGAAATGTGATGAGAAATAGGATGAGCAGTGCAAGATCTAGTACCTTTTCGAAGGGCAATGGGCACATCTAGGTCAGCTGTACCAGTGTTCTCAAGTGGATTGCTGGAACTAGGACTCGGGTCAGAATCCTGGCAGTCTAGAGGATCTTGAGGAGATTTTCGCCAGCTGTAGAATTTTCCCCATTTACCGGGAGGATCTCCAGTCTCTGGTACAGTTGCTGTCCTTGTCTCCTGTACATTAACTCCCCCTGACTCCAAAGGTAAAGAAACAACAGATGTTTCCAAGGGTAAAGGTAAGACAGTAGAATTATTTGGATTCCAAGACTTGTCTTCATTTATACCAATAGACTCCCCCTGAAGAGAAGTCGAGGGAAAAAATGATTGTGTTTCACAAAAAGTAACATCCATAGAAACAAAGACCTTTCGAAGAGAAGGTGAGTAGCACTTGTAACCTTTTTGATTAGGAGGATCCTATGAAGACACATTTAACAGACTTATGATCAAGTTTGGACCTTTGATGTGGAGGAATATGAACAAAAACCACGCAGCCAAACAACTTTGGAGGAAGGGAAGAGAGAGCCCGAAAGGAGGGAAAAGAGCGGGTAAGGCAAGATATGGGAGAATGAAAATTCAGGACGCGAGAGGGCATCCGATTGATGAGATATGAGGCAGTCAAGACAGCCTCCCCCCACAGGTATTTAGGGACATGCATTGTAGACAAGAGGGCTCTAGCAACTTCAATGAGATGTCTATTTTTCCTTTCAGCCACCCCATTTTGTTGAGGGGTGTTAGGACAAGAACTTTGATGGATAATACCTTGCTTGGTTAGGTAATCACCAAGAACAGAATTAAAATATTCAGTACCGTTGTCAGTTCGCAGGATTTGGATAGAGGTCTGGAATTGAGTTTGTACCATAGCATGAAAATTTTTAAAAGTGGCTGCAGCTTCAGACTTATCTTTTAGAAGATATACCCAGCATACTCTAGAATGATCATCAATAAAGGTAATAAACCAACGAGTTCCAGATATATTTTTTTCACGAGCTGGGCCCCAAATATCACTATGAATCAATGTAAATGGAGACGAAACATGATAATCTCTAGGGAAATAAGAAACACGAGAGTGTTTTGCAAACTGACAATCATCACAAAAAAAGGAACTTGGTTTTTTGTTGATAAATAAGTTTGGAAGCAGCTTTTGAAGACAAAAGAAATTTGGGTGTCCTAAACGACGATGCCACAACAAAACATCATTACAATCGTCTGATAAACATAAAGAGTGATTTGCAAAAAATCTCTTTTCATGAGAATCTTCTTCAAAATAGTAAAGCCCTTCTTCCTCTCTAGCACTGCCAATCATCAGCCCCGAATCCTGTTCTTGAAAAACACAGGTTTTGGCAGAGAATTTAGCAACACAATGCAATTCAGAGGAAAGTTTACTAATAGAGATAAGGTTACAAGTAAGAGAAGGGACATGAAGGACAGAATTCAGAGTAATATGTTCAGAGAGCTTAATGGATCCCTTTCCCGCAATATTAGAGAAACTACCATCAGCCGTCCTTATTCGTGACTGGTGATAATAAGGGGTATAAGAACAAAACAGGGATGCATTACCTGTCATATGATCAGAAGCTCCCGAATCAAGAATCCAACGACTACTATGATCAACATGGAATGCCATACCTTGTTGAGCAACATGACTAGTTGCCTCAGCAGATTGAGACATCACCTTCTGAAATTGCTCATAATTCTTACCGTTTAAACGGTGGTTAGTAATCTGTATAGCTGGGTTGTCTCCGGAAGACGAAGAACAGGGAAGAGGAAAGACACCGGAAACATTACCGGATGATTTTTCAGAATGCTTATTCTCAGCCTCAATATTTTCAACTTCCATTGTTCAAAAAAAAAAAAAAAAAAGGAACTCCAATCGTTCAGAACTGAAAAATCACGAAGAGGAACCAACTGGACCCAACAAGAAGAGTGCTCCAATCGTGATTTAAACCCCCAGAACAGGAAGAGGAAGGCCAGGCGAGCCGTTCTGTGAAAGCCGCGTGACAAACGGAGGCCGGCAGGGCGGCGCGTGGCTCACACGCGCCGGAGAGGCAGTTCTGCAGTGGCGGCGCGTGGCTGACTTTCCGGCGACGGGGCTGACGTGGGTCGACTCGGAAATGGCTTCTGAGTTATTTTAATAAACAGTGAAAAATGGAAAACGGAAGGAAACGTGAAGGTTTACAAGATGACCACAGGATAACCTGCTCTTGATACCATGATGAAATATAAGACTGAAATGTATTTTTCATATATTGATTGACACCCAAAGGGATCTTTATATACAGATTACAAGGTAGTTAAGGAGTTGAAGTAATAAATAAAATACACAGTAACCGAAGAGGCATCACACTACTCAAAGGAACAAGTAGCTAGAAACAAGTAGAAAACTCTAGAATATTCTACATCATCCAAGGCAGCAGACTTGGAGTTTGATACAGAAACAGCAGCAGAAGTGGAACTGTTTCGCACCCAACAGTAGCAACAATCACTTTATAAGTTGTTCTTTTCTTGGATAGCCATAGTCCGAAATAAAAAAGGTCTCCAATCATTGATTTGAGCCTTCAAACAGATAGGAAAGAGGGAGATGAGCCGAACGAGACCTCTCTGAACCGGAACCAAGCACTGCAAGGAGGCGCGTGGCTTGCTCGCACTGTATGGTGGTTGTGCGTGGGGCGGATGCTCCGTCCTTTCTCTGGCGCGCGGCTCAGCAGAATCCGGTGGTCCTTCTTGAAACTTGTAGATTTGCTCCTTGTGTTTCGAATGGTGTGAGTCTTGGCCGAAAATGTCGCAGGAAAAATTTTCCGGCAGCTGCCGACGGCGGTGGAAGGCTGAGATTTGCTCTTCTACATTGATTGGCAGCCTCACTTTGCTCTTGGGACTTTGTAGGAAGGGAAAACAGCCTTAAGAATGGCTGAAGGTTGAGTTTTCAGGCGATGTGCCGCCGGTTTGACGGTGATTGTGATGGCTGAGTTTTTTCAAGACCAACCTACTCTTGATACCATATCGAGAGATGTAAGACAAAAGTTTTTTTTAATTTGATACAATTTGATTTACACTGAAAGGGTATATTTATACAAGAGTAAATGAGAAAAAGCGGAAACAAATTCAAATCCCTATTAAAGGAAAAAATAAATCTATAATTAATAGGCTATAAATCAGGGATATGATTGAATCCCAAATAAAAATGGAAAGATTCTAATCCTGATTTTCTACAATATGTTTTTCCTGAAAGTTCCAAATAGAAGGATATTTTACGAGGAAGTATGCCATATTGCTATCTAGGTGGTTGTAGTAGTATGTACGTTTACCCTGTAGAAGTTAAAAGTATGAAAAAAGGTGGCTGTCTAAGTATCACCTTGTAGAGATGATTTTTGCACCAACTTATCCATTGAGATTCAAGTCTGATCTAATCTGGAACTCTTCTGCTTCTATGCACTTTTGAGGCACTTCTTAAGCCATTGGGTATGTTAGGGCCATGGCTTTTAAGAGTATATATCAAATTGTGTCAATGCTAGTAAAGATTCTTGGCATCTTTCCCATATGTTATGGATATTTCACTTTCTCCTGCACTACCTTGACATTGTTATTAGGAAAATGATAGGAATATACTCATGTAGGTGTATGTAAGGTGGGTAGTAGGGGATTATGTTCTACCAATGAGGTGGCATAACTAACTTTTGGAGGGAGAATAGAATGTTCTAGAAGATTAGGCTTAGCATAAGATGTGAATAATGAAGTTGCTAAAGGGGGGATTTGCATTCTGGGAATTGGGAACCTTGGGAGAGTGTGAAGCCTTTCGAATTGCTTCACAAGTTTCTTTACGCTTATTTCTTTTCCTTTCATTCTATAATCTGTTCTAGTAATTCTTTGTTCAGTTAATTTTGTCATTACTATCTTGTACTGTTCTTTAATATAAATACTGAAAATCTGGAAATTCCAGGCCAAAAACTTGTGTCTTCTCTGTTATTTTCTTGTTCTTGATTGTTGGACCTTATCTGAAAAGTTCTTGTGTAAAACTCATTTCTTGTTATATCACATTTTGTATTTTGTCTTCAAAAATAATTTTTTTGATACATTATATATATATATATATATTTTTTTTTTTTTTTCTTTTTTAATTTATTAGTTCTTGTAACTTCTAACCTTGAAGCCTAATGTGTGATATTTATTTGAATGCTCTAATTATGAAGGTAAGAGGCCAAATTAGTGTATATAGTGGAGGAAGCTTAATATTCGGTTTGTCTGATTACCCAATTTCTGAATTTGAGCTTGTTGCAGAAGAGCTTTTATTGAGTGATTCTATCATAAAGGTACTAGATTGTGAATTCAAAGTGTTTTTTTGTTATAATTTTACTTCCATTCTCAATCCATTTGGACTACTATTTCTTTGAGCTATAGTTTCAGCTCATTATTTAACATTTTTAGCTTAATATATGAAGGTTTTTGGTGCATTTAGAGTTGCTGTTAAAATGTTACTCATGTGGAATTCCACAATCCAAATTGATGGTGGTGAAAGAACTGTTGTGACTGCTTCAGTCCTTGAAGTCAGAAATCTCGCTGTACTGAGGGTATAATGTTCTTTACTCTTTATTCAAAGTTATGTAGTATCCTTGGTTATAGAGCAGTATTTTGTTCTTGGTGGGTTGGAGCTTTCTTTCTGATTGTTTGTGATTGTGGGTTCTTGCCTTTGCAGCAAAATTCTGTCATTAGTTCAAATACAAACTTAGGTTTATATGGTCAAGGACTGCTGCACTTGACTGGTGATGGCGATGCAATCAAAGGCCAGCGAGTATCCTTGTCTCTCTTCTATAATGTAACTGTAAGCAATTCTTTACACAATGATGCTTTAAGGTTTTATAAATTTTGCGGTGGTTACAAGAGATTTATATGATTGTTTAGGGCTCTCCCTTATTCCAGGGATGCCAATATAAGAAAGATATGGAAGCAATATACTCTTTTTGAGTTTTGACTGCTGGCTGTGAGTAGAAGGAAATATCTACCGTAGCTACAGTGTAAAATGAATTAGAATGCTGGTATTTTCATGCAATGCACGTGTTCTATTGCTGTTCTCTTTTTAAGGCTTCACTCTAAAATTGATTTTGGTTTTATGGTTTTACCTCAACTCCTTCACGTTAAGGCTATTTTTTGTACTGTTACTGTTTCTCAAATTCGTGATTTCCCCCCTTTGAAGTTGCTTTTGTGTGCAACATTTTAACAGCCCTTCTCTTGTGACAGGTTGGTCCAGGTTCTTTACTTCAAGCTCCTTTGGATGATGATGCTAGTAGAGGCACGTAAGTATGATTTCTTTCTAGTTGCATTGCTTGACTTAAACAGTTTCCATCCAGCCTGTGAACTCCTCTGAAACTCTAAATTAATCCATTTTGTTGTCTTGTTTTTTTAATAATCTTTGTAGGGTGACAAAACATCTTTGTGATACACAGAGATGCCCGATAGATTTGATAACTCCACCTGACGATTGTCATGTCAATTATACACTTTCCTTCTCACTTCAAGTAAGATTTGTTAAGTAATAGGAAAGATGGTATTGGATGTATTTCATTTTAAAGAGTGAAAATCTTGCCCCATTTTTTTGGGTACATATATTTGTGTATCTGCACCCTGGTTATAATATACGAGATTTGTGAAAACATCTTTCTATCGTTTTCAATCAACTTTTTTGTTGGCAATTGTTTTGTTATGGGTCTTGCATAAAAACAATAAGTTATTGCTGTTCAAGTAGAATCTAATGGTGGGTTCTTTTGAGTTTTTGCAGATTTGTCGTGTCGAGGATCTTCTTGTAAATGGCATTATGAAGGGAAGCATAATTCACATTCATCGGGCAAGAACTGTGATTGTTGGTACTGATGGTATGATTACTGCATCGAAATTAGGTAATTAAAATGTTTTAAAACCTTATTTTTTGTTACTTTTTCTGCTCTTCCAAGTTTTCCATGCTAATAAAAATGCTTATTATTGAAAATGGATAGCATAGTTTTGAGATTCTGATTGGACAGAGACCTTTTTCAGGTTGCACTGAAGGTATTGGTAAGGGAAACTTTTTGAATGGAGCTGGTGGTGGTGCTGGACATGGTGGAAAAGGAGGGTCTGGATATTTCAATGGGAAAGTGAGTATTGGTGGTAATGAATATGGAAATGCTGTTCTTCCATGTGAATTGGGTAGTGGAACTGAGGGCCCTAATGAATCATATGGGCATGTTGTTGGAGGCGGGATGATAGGTAAATAGTTTTAAACACTTTTGACTTTATATGTTTCAAGGAAAGGACTTCTCTTAGTTTACTTTTGACTATTAACATGGATGCAGATACCTGTAAATGCTATATCTAATTGTGCCGCTAGTCTTTATACAAAGGAAAATATCTATTTTTTTTATAATATTCTCTGATCGCAATTTTGTCGAATTTTGGCCAGTAATGGGATCCATTCAATGGCCACTTTTGAAGCTTGACCTTTACGGATCTTTGAGGGCTGATGGTGAAAGCTTTAGCAAAGCAATAACAAGCAGTGATGGTTCTTTGGTTGGTGGTCTTGGTGGAGGTTCTGGTGGAACAGTTCTTCTTTTCCTTCAAGGACTCGGGCTTTTGGAGAATTCATCCTTATCTGTTGTTGGGGGCAATGGTGGCTCCCTTGGTGGCGGAGGTGGAGGTGGAGGTCGAATTCATTTCCATTGGTCAAAGATTGGTATGGAGGAAGAATATGTTCCTGTTGCAAGTATTAGTGGCACCATGAACAATAGGTATGCATAATCACGTCTCTGCTAATGGCTTAAGTATAGGAACATGTTAGAATATTACTGCTTTTACTCGGGCCAAGGGAATATTTCCATCTTTGGAGGACTAATGTGGTGAAACCATAATCTTTCAATGGCCAAAGTGAGGGTTTACTCTTTTAAGTAACTTGAAACATGATATTTGTAAATGATTTGATCACTATTTTGGTGAAATGGTGATGGAAATTTTCTTCAAATAAACTTGCTGAAGAAACATCTCTGTCTTCATGATTTTAAACAGTGGAGGTTCTGGGGATGATGGTGGCCATCACGGACAGGAGGGTACCATAACTGGGAAAGCATGCCCTAAAGGCCTTTATGGAATTTTCTGCGAGGTTTGTTCCATTGGTTATTTTCATTCCTTTTTTTTTTTTGCCTAGACTGTTGGAGATATTTACCGATCACTTTCTCTGATAAGTTAAACAAGCAACATGCAAGGAGACTGGTGAGCTCTACTTAGATGAATTGTTTTCTTATGCCCATTTTTTGATTTTTCAGTCTCTTTTAGGAAGATATCTTATCGTCTGATCTTGCAATCTTTTCTTTCTCTTCTCTAATAAAATGCTTTTTATGGTCTGTGTGAGGACAGTTACACATAATTTAAATGTCTGTCTCTGGTATCTCTGCTTTTGTTGGTTTCAGTTTGTAATATGAAATATTACTGTTTTTAAGCTGTCTGTCTTTTTAATAATTCTTTTTTTTGTCTAAAAATAAGTATTATTAAAAAGAAGAGAATAAGTACCTTACGGTTCTTTCAAGAGCTGAGAAAAAAGTCAAACAACACAACAAAGTAAACAAGGAAGTTAGGAATGCAGTAGGGCAGCACAATCATTCTGCGAATCTAATAATTATTTCACATGCACTGGATGTTTACTTTCTGAAATTTATTGAGCCATGCAAGTGAATTTTCAGGAATGCCCTGTTGGTACTTACAAAGATGTTGATGGTTCTGATGCACATCTTTGCACTTCTTGTCCTCTTGATCTTCTTCCCAATCGTGCGAATTTCATATATGAACGAGGTATTTTTGATGCCTGTAACTTGGCTTTACATGCCTAGATTTATGATCGATAACAAATTTTTCGGATGATCCTTTTCATTGCAGGGGGAGTTACGAAGCGATCTTGTCCATATAAATGTATATCAGACAAGTATAGAATGCCCAATTGCTATACACCTCTAGAGGAGTTTATTTATACATTTGGGGGTCCCTGGCCATTTTCAGTAATGTTGTCATTCATTTTGTTGCTTCTGGCTCTGCTACTAAGTACTTTGAGAATCAAGTTGATTGGTTCTGGTTCATATCATAGTTCGAGTTCAATTGAACACCGTAATCATCACCGTTTTCCTTATCTTCTTTCTCTTTCTGAGGTACTATTCTGATAACAAATTCCACTATTTAATTAGTTCTTTATGTAGCATTAATTGAGCCTTAATGCATTATATCTGAAATTATTTGATGCATTACATATTTTGTTGTTTGAAAACTAGGTGCGCGGAGCCCGAGCTGAAGAGACTCAAAGTCATGTACACAGAATGTACTTTATGGGTCCTAATACTTTTAGAGAACCGTGGCATCTTCCTTACTCGCCTCCCCATGCTATAATTGAAATTGTGTAAGAGAAACTGCATATTCATATGTGCATGTCATGGATTTTGATGTCATATTGCTTTGTATGTGGGCCATGTGCTGATAAATGTTGGAAACATGTTTATTTTAGTTGAAATCATCAATCCTCAGTGTTGCTGAAAATCACACGCACTGGTTAACTGTAGCCATTTAGGTTGAACTTATCGTATTTTACTTCTACCATCAAAACACTTATTTTCTCTCAATAGTTTCTATTGTAAAAAAGGTCTTGCTACTGGAGACACTTCTTAGTAAAGATTCTACATCAAGCATCTGGGTATAAGGAAAAGATAAAGAAGCCCAGTTTGGGAAGCTTTATAATTCATTAGCATTCAAATCTTGCATCATATTACTATATGTCAAAATCATGGTTTTGGTTAAGATTTGATGTTAACTGGAATGCAGGTATGAAGATGCTTTTAATAGATTTATTGATGAGATCAACTCAGTTGCTGCATATGATTGGTGGGAAGGATCAGTGCACAGTATACTTTCTGTTGTTGCATATCCTTGTGCTTGGTCCTGGAAGCTTTGGCGCCGGAGAGTCAAAATTAGTCGCCTTCAGGAATTTGTCAAGTCGGAATATGACCATTCTTGTCTACGCTCTTGTCGATCACGAGCTTTGTACAAAGGGATGAAGGTTTGACTTGCAATGCATTTAAGATCATGGAGTAATAAAGTCCTCATCTTAGAATGATTGATCAGGGCTTCCTTGCTAATTAAGAGACTTAAAACATCTAAAAGGACAATCCAAGCCCAATAATAGCGAAGGCCTGGTCTGCCCAAATGAGCATAAAAAAATTGAGAAAATTACTAAAGTACTCCTAAATTGATATACAAAACATACAAAAAAAAAACTTCTAGTAAAGGTTATGGAAGAATACAGTCATCCCCAAATCAAATCTAAACCAAAATACTAAGATGATTTGATTTTAAGATTATGATTTATTGATGCTAGTGCATCCTGTGTCATACAGTGCTGCTGGGCTTTTCATTAAATATAATTATGTTAATTTTTTCACCTTCAAGATCTCACTTTCGTCAGAGATATACTATGCCACGCGTGTTTACATCATGTAGTCAGAAGTTATCAATTCTGTAGTGACAGACTTGTAACTGTCCTGAGATTCTGTTATTATTAAGACTGCTCACCAACTGTCTTAACTGACTCTATAAATATGTAAGCCAAACTCAGTTCGTTAGGATGAAATACACATTCACTTCTGTTCAGAGATTTCTCTGTAATATTTTCTTTCATTTTCCCTCACTTTCTCGAAGAGACAAATTTATTATGGAACAGAGACTTCTTTCTAGTTTTCTCTTGGTAAGACTTGTAGAAACGGCATATGTTCTTCAGCATGGCAACCATAGACGCAAGTGTGATAGTAGAGATTTGTGCCAATGTATTATATCACCCTTAATTCTAATCACAAAAATGCTTCAGCTTCTATATTAACAGTCCTTGCTCCCCAGACGTAAGAATTATGTTTTAATTAGTAGTACAAATGCCAGGAAGTTTTTTTTGGTTATTTCTTGGTAATCATTTAGAGCTCCTAGAAGCAATAGGTACTTTTATATTCAGCTAGAAAGTTAAACTAGGCTATATCAGAATCCATGATTATCAGATTGCATTCCTTTATTTGCTTACAAAAACCAAACAATGTGATTAAATAAACATCAGTATTAATTTTATTTATACATAAGATAGCATATCTGCTTGTTTAATTTGTAATTCTTCTGTCTTATCTGACAAGCTTGCATTAGAATCTAAGACCTTGCAATCAAAGGTTTCCATTTTTAATGTTTTTAATTTGAAAAACAATTGATGCAGGTTGGGGCAACACCAGATTTAATGGTAGCATACATTGATTTTTTCCTTGGTGGGGATGAGAAGCGATTAGATATTGTATCAATTATACAGAAGAGATTTCCCATGTGCATAATTTTTGGCGGGGATGGGAGCTACATGGCGCCTTATAATCTTCACAATGATTCACTATTGACCAACCTCCTTGGCCAGGTGTCTTGCTTGTTAATGTTATTAAGATTTAGTCAGTTTTTTTCTCTATGCATAACCGACAAACGATCCCAAACTTGATATCCACAGCATGTCCCTGCAACTGTTTGGAATCGATTGGTAGTTGGACTGAATGCTCAGTTGCGGACAGTGAGGCATGGATCAATTCGTACCGCACTAGGTCCTGTTGTTGATTGGATAAATAGTCATGCAAACCCCCAACTTGAGTTCCATGGAGTTAAAATTGAGCTTGGATGGTTCCAAGCAACAGCTTCTGGTTACTATCAGCTGGGTATCGTGGTAGCAGTTGGGGAGTATTCCCTTCATGATTCGCACCAGTCTGATACTTGGGTTGGTACTGATGAAGCTATGAGGTAACTTCCTGAGTTAACCCTTGTTTCTTCCAATTAATCAAATTAAAACCTGGCAGGGAATGGGATCAATCATTTCATTTTGTCCCATGAGAGTTATTGGTGCCAATAGAAACTGAATAATAGCAAAATTGAATGTTGGTAAATGGGCTTTGCCTGGGAAGGATTGTTGGAAGGAAGAACTTCGTGCTTACTGTAAGTAAGACAGAAAATTTAACTGTTCAAAACCAAAATTGTTCATGAATGATGATATACCCTTAACGATAATGATGATTCATAATGATTGGATTTAGAAACTTGACCTGATTAGATTAGATGGATTAGGAAAGAATGTAAAATGGTTATGTTACGATCCAGTTGCAAGGTATAAGACTTGGAGTCTCACATCGAATAGATAAGGTTCTGGTATGGGGTTTATATGGATTTTAGGCTCTCCTACCTTACAAGCTAGTTTTTTGGGTGAGGCTCTCCCACGGTTCGTATCTATTAGTATCACAACTTTCACTTTGTCAACCAGTTGCAATCGAGCAGCGCAGGCCTAGTAAAAAAACTAGCGCCAAGCCAGGTGACGTGAGCATTGGGATTGCCAAGCGTGGTGAAATGTTACGATCCAGTTGCAAGGTATGGGGACTTGGATTCTCATATCGGATAGATAAGGTTCTGGTGTGGGGCTTATATGTGCTTTGGGCTCTCCTATTTTACAAGTTAGCTTTTAGGGTGTGGCTTTTCCAAAGTTCGTATCGGGCTATTATTGGGCCTTAGCGTAGTAGTTAGAAGCTTAGGTTGCATTATTCTTTGATAAGGTATCAATGGGTTTTTAGAGTTGATCCTTGCTTCTCACACAAATTTAAATTGATATTGAGTTCTGTTGAGATATATAAAATCATTAATGTAACCTCACCCAACAGCTTAAGCTTTTGGGTTGAATTGGTTCTTTACATGGTATCAGAGTTTCGGTGTACCGGATTCAATCCTCACCACCCCCCACTTTCTTTCTAGTGGAATTTCTTTCTTCGCATAGGTAGGTGGGCCTGTGCATCGTCCACCCTTCAAGTCCAGTGGACTCTCGTGTGAGGGGACGTGTTGAGATTAAAATCATTAATGTAACCTCACCCAACAACTTAAGCTTTTGGGTTGAATTGGTTCTTTACAAGTTCCAGTACAATTTTTGATGTGCTTATGCATTGTTAATGTATCAAAGCTAGTAGATTCTCTCAGGGGGCATGTTGGGGATGCAAAAACCATTAATAACTCTTTGCTGTGAGCTTCTAAGTTGCATGGTTCCTTGACGTTGTTCATTTTAATACCTCCTTTATGTAGATTAGTACTGCAAAAATTCACGTTTGTTTTTAAATCCCATATGCGTATTAGCTTGAAGGAATTCTTTTTTGATGCTTATGACAGGAAAAATGTGGCACATGGAAAAAAGAATTGTAAGCAGCTGCAGCATAGTTGGCCATATATGAGCAATTCATTATCTCTTAAAAAGATAACTGGAGGAATTAATGGTGGCCTAATAAATGATGCCACCTTAAGATCATTGGACTTTAAAAGGGACTTTCTATTTCCACTTTCTCTACTGTTGTGCAACACTAGACCTGTTGGTCGTCAGGTAGTTAAATTATTTTAGGTGCTTCACCTCTCCACAACTATAACTTGAACATTGTCTAATACATGATGTCTTTGTTTCAGGACACTGTGCAGTTGCTGATTACTTTGATGCTTTTAGCAGATATATCTGTCACTCTCCTCATGTTGCTTCAGTTCTACTGGATTTCTCTTGCTGCTTTTCTTTCTGTTTTACTGATCCTTCCTCTTTCTCTACTTTCTCCATTTCCTGCTGGATTGAATGCTTTATTCAGTAAAGAACCTCGAAGAGCTTCACTTTTTCGAGTATATGCACTGTGGAGTTCTACTTCTTTATCTAATATTGTAAGTTGTGCTTATATTGTGCTACCATTTAGTATAACTGTCTCTTCAATGTGTAAAGCAGATGAGAAGCAGCAAGCATGCTTCGCTTGCGATTATAATATATTCTGAGCTTATTGGAACATAATAAACAGAAATTTCTTAACAAGCATTTCATCATGAGTTGCCTGCAGTGATATGCCCCATCATGCTTATGATGCATAACTTTAATACGGTTTTTCTAAGTTGAGAAAAATGGGGTGTAAGCAGTCCAAAATACTTTGGAAGTCCAAATTACTTGGTCAGCCTTCACTGTTTACTATCTCAATTGGCTTTCGATGTTAAGCTGCTATATAAATGCTGACTGAGATAAATTATGTTAAGCTGAAAGATATCGTTAAACTTGTAAAGAATCTCTAATGACTAAAAGGCAATGAGTTACTCAAAAATATCAAAGTTGCAAATAAGGCTTGTATAAGCACTTTTTATTTGAAAAACACAATATTCAGTGGAAAAAGATGATTTGATTTTGTGACATAGGCAAATAGTTTTTTTTTTTCTTTAGTCTGCATGTAATGTTCAATACAAGAATTCTTCCTAGTTTCTTTTTCATATTAAATTTGTCTTTATTAGAGAGTATACACAGCATATGTATCTCTGTATATCTACACAGCATAGCTGTAAGTCAGAACAGATACATTGCTAGCTGATGTCCGCATTAGTTAGTTATCTGCTGAGCTGTCAGGTTGTTAGACATTTCAGTTGGTCAAGTGGTTCAGATCTATTACAGGTCTGTAGAGCCTCCAATCTATCTTAATTTTAGTGACGCCCCTTCACAGTAAGCTATCAGTAGAGCCTCATAAAGATACCGAGAAAATTATATAGCAGAAGTGGCAAGGCCCTACAACCATTACTATTGCCGGTTGAGGGGAAGACAGTTATGAAATTCTAGGCACATTGAATTCATAACATTTTGAGATGAATACATTCATGCAATCATTTGAAATTTATTCCCTGCTTTTATCTATAACATTTGTGTCTGTGCGTGCAGGGAGTAGCTTTTATTTGTTGCCTCCTTCATTATGCATTATCCCACTTTCACCACCCTGACGAGGCAAGTACACGAAATGCTAAGAGGTAAGGCTGCCAACTTCTTAATGGCACCACTTTATCTCAAACAACAATGACATATATTACAAACAACCTACGTTTCTTGTTTAAATTTAATTCTGTGGCAGTACAGCAAGAAATCGATGCAGAAGAATCAAACATCATCTTATCCATGTTTACTGGATCAGATCATCTGATTTACGTCATATTTGAACATGATAGCCAGTTGGATTCTGCTTAATCATTGATTGCCTCTCTGCATAATGGAGGTTTTGTTAAGATTTGTACGAGGAGGAAGAATATCATGTCTAATCTTAAAACACTTGTGCTTTGTAACAGGGTGAATATCAAGAGTTGCCTCGAACTTGAGAGGATTCTTACTATGGATCAAGGGATAGCTGAAGGAATTTTGTGATATTTCGTTTAGAGCTTCTCAACATGGATGCACTGCCTTGTATACGTGTCAGCCCAATCACAGCTGTAATAAAAGTAGAAAATAAAAATGAAAAAGCAATAACCACTTTCCGTTGCATTGAAAAAATGCACAGATAAAATATCTCCAAATAAAGCCAAAACAAATAAACGTAAATGAAGTGAGAATATCATAACGAAATATCGGGTCTCCATGTTGAGATAGAAAATGCATTGGAAACGGATCCATGCTGAGGAGTTCATAACGAATATCACAAAATTCCTCCGGCTTGTATTCTCTGTACTTCACTCCTGCTTTTTTAATCGGGTCACACTTCTCTTACTGTGCTATCCCGTGGTCAAGAGTAAGAACCCTCTTGAGTTTGAGGCAGCTCCTTAGATACATCCCTATCACAATCTTCCAACATAAAGTATAGGAGATTATTGATTTTGCAAAGGATATATGTTACTGTGAAAATATGTTTAATGGGGAAATATGTAGGTAGCATTTGGGTCGTTGATAAAACGGAATGGAAAAGAATTGACGAGAATGGAATGCGACAATAATGTCCTGCTTGCTGTATTGGCAGCTACAGAACCAAAAGAGATTCGTGTCCTGTTTTGCGTTTGCCTTTTATCAAAGAGAACAGAACACTATTTTCAATTACGTATATATTCCTGTCCTGTTTAATATTTGGTTGGGTGTGATGGTGCAACCCGTGGAGATGGTCATGAGAAGCTTGTATATGTGATATGCATGAGATGGGTACCTGGAGATTAAGGATCCATCTAAGGACGTGATTATTAGCGGTGGTGAGAACCTGAGCAATGTGGAGGTGAGTAAAAGCACCCGGTGGTGAACGACCAGAGCCAACGAGTTTTGGGGGGAGATGCTGTGTGCCTTCATGAGCTTGAAGGTCGGGTTGAAGGACAATCAAACAGAGAAGGATATATTTGAGTATTGCAGGGAGAACATGCTGCATTATATGGTTCGAAAGACTCTGGTATTCAAGGATGAGCTTACCAAGACAGCTACGGGAAGATAATAAATATGCTGCATTATAGTTTCGTGTGCATTATATGCTGCATTATAGTTGCTTGCTTTTATTACTTGGTGCTCTCTCTCTCTGTCTCTCTTTCGGTTAACAACTTGTGTTCTTTATTTTTATGTTTTGATACATTCTTTTGCAGGGAAGATGATAAATGCTGGCTTTTGCCCATCATTCTTTTTTTATTCAAGTCGGTACAAGCCCGTTTTGTCAATTGGCACATAGCGAATCTAGAAATCCAAGATTTTTCACTATTTTGTCCTGATCCAGATGCTTTTTGGGCTCATGAAACTGGTTTATGACAGAAAAGGAACAGAAGAAATAGAACGTGAACATTGATGTTGAGTTTTTGATTATTCCAACAGTTCAGAAGGAGGCTTTGTTTCGGCGTGGTCGTGAGTCTTGTAGCTGTGTAAATATCTTCAGAGGTGTGCAGGAGAATCAAGTACAGTTCTGCACTTCTAGCTTCTTTGTAAAATATCTTAACAAGAGGTTCAAGGGATAATACACGCGTCTTTCTAGTACGGTTTTTTTTTTTTTTTTTGGTGGGACACTTTCTCATAGGATAGGTTAATGCCACTGAAACTTCACCATTTTCTTCGTTATCTACGTCCGTAAATTTCAATTATTTTAAAAGCAATCTTTGCCACTAAATGCACGAGAAGCCTTTACGATGCTGCTAAATACAGTTATGCACTTTTCGCTTCTTCGCCGTTCAAAAGAATAATGTATGAAACACGAAAGAAATTCTGAAAAGTACTTGCTACTGAAAAAACCCAACCCCTCTTCTTTTGGTCCATCACTGATCCCTTGGTTCTCTAGATGTATTTTTTCCCCTTCCAACCATCCCTTGGTGCCTCCAGTTTAATCCCCCAGTCGTTGATGGCTTGACTTTTACAGACACTAACTGTACTAACCAGAAAAATAAATAAGTAAATAATAGCAATAAAAATAATAATAGTTTATACCCTTATGCATATTGTTAAATTATGTTAGATATATTGGGTTTAGTATAAAGTGGTGTTATAGGGATTGATATATTTATTGGTTGTGATTGAATGTTAATAGGGTTGGTTTTAATTTAATTGGTAATGTAAACATTTATTTTCATTTAATTTTGTAACCGTTAAATATATTAATGATAATTAAATTAATTATGATGACTATTAATATTACTTGCAGTTTTAATGATAATCAAATAATCGTAATGACTATTGATATTACCTGTAATTAATGCCTCAGTTATAACTACAGCTATAAATAGGAGTTTAATTTAACCAAATCATTTCTATATTCTCTCCGATTTCCTACATATCTCCTTTTCTCTTTTTCCTCTTCTCAAATTTTCTTCCTATTTTCAACCTTTTCCAAATTTTGCTGTAATTATTTTTCTTTAGCTACCAACTGCTTTTCTCCTCAAAAATTGCCTTTCTCCTAAAGAAGCCTTCAAACACGGAGTTCACGTAATCCCGATCCTCCTTAGGACATCTTAGGTTATTTTAGGTGAAATTTGGTATATGTAACCCTAATCCCAAGAGAGTCATACGTTAGCTTTATATGAATCTTGATAGTGTAATCCTAATTCCTAGCTATCTTAAGGTTAGTTTTATATGAAATTTGTTGGGTGTATCCTAATCCTTTAGGAGTAATATATTAATTTTATATGAAACTTGTTATATGTAATCCTCATTTGCAGGGAGTAAATAAATTAGTTTTATTTGAAATTTGTTATAGGTAATCCTAATTCTTAGGGAATCCTAAGATAGTCTTATTCGAAATTTTTTATATGGAATCCTGATCCTTAAGATATCATAGGATAGTTTTACATTAAATTTGCTATATGTAATCTTGATCCTTATGGTATTATAGTTTAATTTTATATGAAATTTGTTATATATATTCCTAACCCTTAGTTAATCGCAGGGTAATCATATATGTATTATTGAGAATATTATTGGGTTTAATTTCAACTCCAAGAAATTATAGGTTAATTAGGGAGTCACATCTAATCACATATCACAACGGCCATAATTATAGTTAGATTGATTTCTTTTTGGCTAGAAGAGAAGATAGAACTTCTTGTGTTGATTGTAAGGTCTACCTTGGAGAGTGTGTCGCTACGCAACATAAGCTGGTAGTCCTGGAAGTTCGGTTCAACAAAGTACTTACAATGAGGAAGAGGGCCCAGAACCCAAGGATAATGTGGTGGAAGCTTAAGGAGGAAAAAGAGAGAGAGTTCAATAAAAGAATGTTGCATGAAGGACCTTGGGAGTTTGATGGAGGAGCAAATGCAATATGGAATGAGATGGCTATGTGTATTCAGAATATGGGAAGGAGAGTGTTTGGAAAAAACAAAGAAAATGAATTTCACCCAAAGAAAACATGGTGGTGAAATTGAGAGGTGCAAGAGGCAATTAAACAAAAGAAGGAATGCTTTAGATCTTTGCATAAAATTCCAATGAAGAGAACTTGCAAAAGTTAGATTGACGAGAAAAAATGCAAAGAAAACAGTGCGAGAAGCTAGAGACAAGGTTTTCGCCGATTTGTATAAAAATATTGGGAACAAGGATGGTGAAAAAGGTATATATAAACTTGCAAAAATAAGGGATAAGAAAAGTAAAGACCTCACCTAAGTTAGATGCATCAAGGATGAAAATCAAAAACTTTTGGTGAGAGATAAAGATGTAAATGATAGATGGATGAACTACTTTAACAAGTTGTTTAATGGGGATGGCGATAAAAGCGAGCTGGACTTGGAGGATGCTTATGATGATTTGAATAGAAGATTTGTGCGCAGAATTAATACACATGAAGTTAATGAGGCTTTAAAGAGGATTAAGACTAATAAAGCCTTGGGAAAAGCCTTGGGACTTGATGGTGTCCCTATTGAAGTGTGGAAAGGTCTGGGAAATGTGGCAATAAAATGGTTGACCAATCTTTTCAATAAGATTCTTCAGACAAATAAGATGCCTGATGCATGGAGGAAAAATATGATTGAGCCGATTTACAAAAACAAGGGAGATATACAGAATTGTTCTAACTATAGAGGCATTAAGCTAATGAGCTATACTATGAAGTTGTGGGAGAGAGTTATTGAACATCGCTTGAGAAGAGACACCAAGGTTTCTGTAAATCAATTTGGATTTATGCCAGGAAGATGTACCATGGAAGCCATTTTCTTGATGCGACAATTAATGGAAAGATATTGAGAAAAGAAGAAGGACTTACATATGGTGTTCATTGATCTTGAGAAAGCATATGACAAGGTTCCAAGGAATGTTTTATGGTGGGTTCTTGAGAAGAAAAAAGTACCATCAAAGTATGTAAAGGCGATCAAGGATATGTATAATGGGGCTACTACTTGTGTGAAAGCTTGTAATGGAACATCAAGTTATTTTTATATCACGGTAGGCGTACACCAAGGTTCGGCTCTAAGTCCTTATCTCTTTGCCAGTTATGGATGAACTAACAAAAAATATTCAAGAGAAAGTGTCATGGTGTATGATTTTTGCAGATGATATTGTGCTTATTGATGAGAACAAAGAAGGTGTTAATAGAAAACCTGAATTGTGGAGAAGCACGTTGGAATTTAAAGGATTCACGTTAAGTCGGAGCCAGACTGAGTATTTGAATTGTGAGTTTTCTCTGGCAAGAGATGAAGACCAAGATCCCGTACACCTACTTGGCCAAGATGTACCCAAGAAAGATGCTTTTAGGTACCTGAGATCCATTTTGCAAAAAGATAGAGAGATTGATGAGGATGTAAATCATAGAATCAGAGCAGGGTGGATGAAATGAGATAGTGCATCTGGATTTTTGTGTGACTGCAAAATCTCCCTTAAGTTAAAAGGAAAATTTTATAGAACAACAGTAAGACCTGCAATGCTATATGGAGCTGAATGTTGGCCAGCTCATAGGCAACATGAGCATAAAATGGGAGTGGCAGAGATGAGGATGTTAAGGTGGATGTGTGGTTATACGAGAATGGATAAGATGAGAAATGAAGATATTCGACGAAAGGTAGGAGTACTACCGGTGGCTGAAAAGATGAGATAACATAGACTGAGGTGGTTTGGGCATGTAATAAGAAGGCCCCTGGATGCTCCTGTAAGAACAAAAGTTTGTTACCAAGAGCTCAACACAAAGAAAGGTAGAGGTAGACCGAAACTTACTTGGGGGAAGGTAGTAAAGCAAGACTTAATAGATTGAGATATAGATTGACGGACGGTGTGCCTTAGAACGAAATTGAGAAAATCTATATGCATGGTGGAGGGTTAGACCCATTGTTATTCCTATGTTCCAGATGGTCCCTTTTTAGTCCTTTTCCCCCTTCATCTCCCCCCTCTTTTCCCCTTCTTTTACCACTTTTATATTTATATTTATATTTATATATATTATTACTATTTTATTTTTTATTTTTATCTTTTTTATCTTTTTTTAACCCTTTCGTATCTTTTATTTGGGTTCATCTACCACCGACCCCAATTAATTTGGGATAAAAGTGTTGTTGATGTTGATTGTTGGGAATTTTATTGGGTTTAATCTTTACCTCTAGGGAATCACAAAATTAATTATATAACTATTTTTGGAAAAATCCTAATTCTTTAGTGATAATAGGTGGAGATGATGGATAATTGAGTACGTGTGGTATAAATTTTACCTTTGATGAGATGTATGAATAATTGATTATTTGTGGTGTGAATTTTACCTTTGATGAGATAATGAATAATTGACTATTTGTGGTGTGAATTTTACCTCTGATAAGATATTGGATAATTGCTTATGTGTGATATGGATTTTACTTTTGATAAATGTTGGATAATTGATGTGAAAATTATAATACTCTTGGATAATTGATGATGGAATTATAATACTCTTGGATAATTGATATGAAAATATGATACTCTTTAAGAGAATTTTTCATAGTATATGGTTGGCGACAAGAATAAATTTCCCTAATTGTGCGTGATTGTAATAAGATAATAGTGGAAAAATAACTTTTAGAATGATACTTTTGAAAGTGATGGACACAACCTTTGGACTTTAAGCCTTTAATGTTATATGATGTTATCTATTCTTTCCAAAGTAGTACCTGACAACAGGGTTTCCCAAGGTATTAGTAGCAACTTTGGGGAGAGGTGTGCACACTAGGATTTGATGTTTTGATTATGGCCAAATTTGATTGTGCCTGGTTGGATAAACTGATAGTAGGGTATCTCAGGTCTACCATGATTCTCTTCAAGAAGTTAATGAAACTGAATAAGATCAATAATGGAAATGTCATA